CCTGGTACCTCCTCCCTCAGGCCTGAGCTCCTCCAGCCTGTCCAGCCAAGCTGTTGCCTGCAGAGAAACCCTCAGCCCAAGGTGGCACTGCTGGACATTCCCCAAAGCTCATGGGTCCACTGCTGAGAGGCTGTGCCCAGACAGGTCTCTCTGGTCACAGAAAGCAGGAGGCAGGGGCAGCGGGCCCTCAGGCCTGCTTTCCTGGAGTCTTGGCTCCTGTTCCGACACCTTATTCCCCATCTGCCCACAGGTGAGGTTTTCCCCATCTTGGAGCACCACCGGCACGCAGACCTCACTGCTCCACCCAACAGCCCCACTGGCCACCACCCCCAGCCAGCATCGCTGATCCCCTCTCACCCTGGATCCTTTGGCTCAGCGCCTCACCCGCACCTGTTGCCTAGCACCCCAGCAGCGCCTTTCCCTGCCCAGGCTTCGGAATGCCCTGTGGCTGCTGCCGCCGCCCCCCACTCCCCAGGGGCATGTCAGAGCCCCCACCTGCCCTCCACCAGCATGCCGCTCCTGAAGATGCCTCCACCTTTCTCGGGGTGCGGCCACCCCTGTAGTGGGCACTGCAGCGGACCCTGTGGTGGGCCCTGCAATGGGCCTCTGCTCCCAGCACCGAGCTCGCAGCAGCTCCCAAACACTCACAGGTAAGCCGGGGAGTGGCCTGAAGGGCAGACTGCCTGCTGACTTGGGCTTAAGAGTTTTGGAATACTTTGCAAAGGATACCTTTGGGTTGGAAATTAAAGGGTAGATTCTTTATGGGTTTTTTGTTTGTTTGTTTTTCCAATTATAAAGGAAATGTGTTTATTATTTTTTAAAAACTTGGAAAAATTTAGAAATGTGCAAAGAAAAAAATGTCCTTATACCCTAAGGATAAATTTCTAATGCTGCAGTAGTTTTTCGTCCCAACATTTCTGTATGTAACATAATTAAGTCCCTGTTCTATATACATTTTTGTGTAGTTATTTTTTAACATTATACCATGATCATTTCCCCAGTTAAATTCTTCAAAAACTTTTCATTGGCCACATAATGTCTTATTATATAGGTCTAGCATAATTTGTCATTCCTCCATTCCTAGACATTTAGGCATCTCCAGTTTTTAATCATTATTGATAAAGCTTATAAGTATCCTTGCACCCATATCTGTGTTTGAGTTAGGAATTATGTCTTTAGGGTCCTGAAAGTCACTCTTGGTACTGAGAAAGGTTGTATTAATATGTATTTGAAAGTTAAGAGTTCTTTGGAGAAGGTAGGTATGTATTTTTATATTATAAATCAGATTTATGTTTATTCTGCATTTATATTTTTCTATCCTAAAATCCTACCCACCCCGGTATCACCACTCTTAGCAGTTTTCCCTTGGTGTCTCCCTTGCACGGCGTTGGTGGCCGAGTCTCTCCCATGCGGTGCTGGTGCTGTCTATTCGGTTTTTCATTGCCTGGTCTCACTTGGCATTGTGAGGATCTCATGTGGTCTCCTGAGCCGTGGCTTCGCAGGCTGGAGGATGCTCGCCACAGTCCACTTTGCTCTTCTCCCCTTGTTGAACATTTAGTCGTTCCAGCATTTGAACATTATAAATAATGTCTAAAGGTGTTTTTGCCTAAAGCTTTTTTCATTTGGGGGTTTTTCTCCTTGGAATAGACCCCTCAGAATGAAAAAGTTCTTGGTTTAAAGCAAGGGTCTCCAACTCCTAGGTATCAGTACTGGTCCATGGCCTGTTAGGAACCAGACCACACAGCAGGAGGTGAGCAGCTGGTGAGTGTACAGAGTTTCATCTGTATTTGCAGCTGCTCCCCAGCGCTAGCGTCACCACCCCAGCTCCACGGCCTGTTGGAGTTTCATCTGTTCTCATAGGAGCGCCGGTCCCTGCTGCCAAAAAGGTTGGAGACTGCTGGTTTAAAGGATATCAGGATGTCTTTCTTTTGTTGTTGTTGTTCGTTTTGCTTTTTTGAGAAGGGTTCTTAATACACATTGAAAAGTTGCTTTCCAGAGTGCTCTCCAAAATGACATAGTACCATTATTAGGGTGCTGGTCTCCATATTCTCGGGTGCACTGGGCATTTTAATTTTGCTAATGTAGTTGATGAAAGAGTGGTCAGTTTGGATTAAGCTTCTACAAGCACCACTGGGAGTGGTTCCTGCCCCACCTATTCTACCCCGTGCCCCATGTGGGACCCGCCCTGGAGCTGAGCCTCCTCCCGGCCTCTTCCCCACCCTTCCACTGGACTCCCACTGCCAAGGGACCTGGGATTCAGGCTCTGGTACTTCTGCTCCAGTTCTGGGAATTTGCAGGCCTGTCTGTTCCTCATCTGGGAAAACAGTCTATATTACGAGAAGCTGTCGTGCTTCCTGAGGTCGTCAGAGCAGTACAGGGGGCAAGCATGAACTTCGCCCACAGACCTGGCTGAGTCCGACCACTCCTTGAGCAAAGCACTGAGGCACTCTGAGCCTGTCTCCTCCACTGCACAGTGGCGATAGCGACATGATTTTGCAGGCTGTGAGAGATGGTTAAAAATCTTATACTGAATACAGCACCTGGCACAAACAGGAGCACTTAGAGTCTGTGTCTCACAAGGCACGTTTGCTTTCCGAACCGCAACATCCCACAAAGGCAACTCCAGCCACTGGTGCAGACTCAGTCCTAGAGCTTTAGAATGAAAGGAGACTGACCCTGCTGACCTTTGGATGCTCCAAGGGAGCCATCAGCCCACTAATCTGTTCAGACACCTACTTACTGAGCACCTACTGTGTGTAAGGTGGTTATGCTCCACACTGAGACCCAAAAATAGAAGCGTCCCTGCCTTTGGAGGGCTCATGGTTGCTCTGAGACAAATGGACAAACAGACCATTGCAATAAAGTGTGGTAGATGGTAGGATAGAGTTGCGCATGGTGCCCTCAGAATCCAGGAGGATCACACAATGGGTGTGGGCCGGGGAGGCATGGGGGACCTTTCCGGAGTTAGGCCCCTATCCTGTGAGAGGCCCTGATGAGGCCTGACCCCTCAGCCCCGGTGAGATGGGGCTACGGAAGGCCAGTGGGACGACACAGGGCTGCTTCCCGGCTTGCATTGCATCCTGCTCCTGCCCTCTCTTACCTTTGGGCCTGTCTTTCTTCCTCATCAGCAGAGACTCTGGGTGCAAGGGACACAAGTTCCCACACAGTGGCCCGGCCTGCCCGCTGCCCCAGCCCTGCGAGGCAGACGAGGGTCTGGGTGAGGAAGAAGACAGCAGCTCGGAGCGCAGCTCCTGCACATCATCCTCCGCCCACCAGAGAGATGGCAAGTTCTGTGACTGCTGCTACTGTGAGTTCTTCGGCCACAGTGCGGTGAGTGAGCCTGCGGGCAATGAGGGCTGGGGGCCAGCCATGGGGGCCCAAGGCGCGCCCACTTGCCCCTTGCTCTAGGGACCGCGCTGGGCCCTGTGAATCCTCGCACCTGCATCTGCTCACTTGACCCTCACAGCACACTGATGAGGTAGGGGTTTAACATTTTGCTACCTTTGCTCTTTTCACGGCTTCTCTTAAGATTGACTTTTTTTCTTTAGGCAAAAGGAAAGGAAATGGCAGAGAGAAAGCTATGATTCTGATGAGTATGTGTATGTGTGTAATCACAAAGAAGTGAACGCTTGTGCGTGATGAAGGCAGAATGGCAGCAGAGGCTCTCGGTCCCCAGGTGTGAGAGCCAGTCAAGGGACAGGCCGGGAGCACAGATGGCACCAGGAAAGAGGCTCAGAGCAGAGTACATGCTGTCTCTGGACAGGGGGAGGAAGCAGTTCAGAAGGCTCCCAAGGTGAAAAGGAAAGGGCTGCCGGCTAGGGGAGAGCAGTTGAGGACGGAAGAAATGAACATAGTTCCGTTGCTCGTCACCTTTGAGCTAGGGATTATCCTCACTTTAGAGATGACTAAATTGAGGCTCACAAGACTCAGTGACCTGCCCAAGGTCATACAGCTTCTAAGTGATGAAGCCTGGCTCTTAGGCCAGTGTGCTCCCAACACTGTCATGTGCCTCCTACCTCCCACCCCCCACCCACCACTGCCTGGGCTCCGGCCTGGCTGAGGGTGAAGCCATTTGGCCTCTGTGGCTCTGGGAGAAAGAACAGTTGTCTCGCTTCTCACCACATGTTTGGTGCTAGCGGGTGGGAGTGCCACGGGCTTCCCAGGCCCGGGGTGTAATGTCAGCACCTCCCCCTCCCCCAGCCACCCGCTGCCCCGACGAGTCGGAATTATACCGAGATCCGAGAGAAGCTCCGCTCAAGGCTGACCAGGCGGAAAGAGGAGCTGCCCATGAAGGGGGGCGCCCTGGGCGGGATCCCTGGGGAGCCCGCCGTGGACCACCGAGATGTGGATGAGCTGCTGGAATTCATCAACAGCACGGAACCCAAAGTCCCCAACAGCGCCAGGGCCGCCAAACGGGCCCGGCACAAGCTGAAAAAGAAGGTGGGTGTGGAGGGGAGCCAAGCTCTACCACCTCTTCTCCCCGAGGAGTCCTTCGCCCCAACCCCAGGACTTCTGGGTCATGACTGGTGCTGGCTGCCCAAAAGCCTTGCTGTGGCTCACTACTCTGGGAAGGTCTCAATGAGTTTGTGAGGCAACAGGGTCAGGGAGACTGGGGCTCAATGAGTGGAGGACAAACGAGTCCTGGCCTCAGAAGCCGCTTACTGGATTCCTCCAAGCCCAGGACTTACTTCAGTCAGTCAGTCATTTACTCATTCAACAAACATTTTTGCAAATACTAGGAGCCAGAGCATGTTACAGTTAAGTTCTCACCCTGGAGAAACTCGATCCAGTAGAGAGACTGACCCAAACTGGATGAGCACTTTAGTGTGTGACAACTACTGGCATGAGGGAAGACCCCCATCCTGCCTGGGCATGCTGGAAATAACTGTACCAAGAGGCTGACTCGTGAGTTGGGTCACAGGGAGTGAATACAAATTCATGATGGAGTACCCTCCCAGCAGCACTGTAGCTTGGGCTCAGACAAGAGGCAGGACAGATGGTGGAGGTGACGGAGGGCCTTGTAGGCCCTGCGGGAGAGCTTTGACTTGATCTTGCAGCTGAGAGGAAGTCACTAGAGAGCTTTAATCGAAGAATGCACTTGGTCAGATCTGTATTCTGAGATTACTGTGTGGCAATAGGGAGGGTAGGCTGGCAGGGTGACACTCCAGGAAAGCCGAGGGCCAGGGTAGAGATGCTTCATGGTGGGGCTGCAGCAGGAGGTAGATTTTCAGAGGAAGGAGAGTGACAAGCTTTGGTGATCTTGTTACAGGACAGGGAGATGCAGGAGTTAGGGTTGTCTCCCAGGTGTTTGCTTGGGTGACTGGCAGGATGGCGTGCTTTTCACTGAGCAAGGATGGGATTAGCAGAAGACGGGAATTCAGCTGGGACACATTGACTCAGAGGTTCTCACGAGACATCCAAGTGGAGATGGAGGCGCGGGGCTGGGAGTTGCCAGCACGGAGTTGTAATTGAAGCCATGAGAATGACCCAGGGAGCGCATCCCCGAGGGCTGAGGAGAGACTCCCGTGAGTCCTTTCCAGGCAGCCCCGATGCCAGACTAGCCCCAGAGCTTGATGGCCGTCCCCTGCCGCCTCATTACCACTTCGCCTGCCTGCCCCGAGCTGCGTCTGCGCAATGCTGCACTCAGGAACCCAGCAGCCGACAAGATCGGGTTTGACAACCAGCTAGCTCCAGGTCCTGGGTGGTCAAACAGCCCTGGTGCTCTTGAAAGCAGCCGTGGTTCTCCATCTTTTTCCAGCCCAAAGAACAACCAGGACCTTTGCCCTGCAGTGAGCCAAGGGATCCCACCGCTGCCTTCAGAAAGCAGTTTGCACTTTCTTTCTCTCATCCAATGTTGCCTAGGTGTCCGGTGGGCAGCAGCGGCCTTTCTGAGCTCTTGAGGCAGTTACATCCCAGCAAGTGTGCTTCGCAGTTCCCAGACCTGGTGTGCTTTTCATAACTCTTTCTCCTTCGCTAGTAGTGCTCTCCTCCC